CTCAGACCGTCATTCTTGAAAATACATATCTTTAGAAATTAATCCTTACATTCATAGAAAGACAATATTGAAAATTACTATGACAATTCTCAATGGTCATTCTTGAAAAGTTCGATGTGGAATAAGGTAGATTTTAGAAAATTATATCTGTACCGCTTGGAACCCTTAGTTTACCACTTGGAAGAACCGTTTGTTCCCTTGTAACAAGCTTCTAATGCAATTTTCTTGATAAATAATGAAAAATAGACAATATACATTTACATTTATATTTCAAATAACGTACCTTTCCAGATAAATCAAAAAATCATTGGGCGAAATAACTTTTAATCAGTTTGGTTACAAGTGAAATTATTGACTTTGTCAGTGTTGTCTAGGGATATTTACTTTCTCCGTGAAAGGTTTTTAACATTGTTATTGTTTAGTAATATATCAATTTTTAAACAGACTAAGAGTATGACGACAGTTACCAATTATACCTTGTATCGATTTCCTGTTTTCAATATTTCAGTATATTAACATCCATATAGGTCCAACCAAAGCCAAAAGTAAGTTACGTCGTAGAATACAGCAGCACATATATTTCATGGTTACTTACATGAAAAAAGTCTGTAGTCATGTATGTTTGATTATTGTTTAATTGGTTATACTGTGCTCGTTGTTGGCCTTGATTTATATACTATGCTCGTTGGTGGTCTTGATTTATATACAATGCTCGTTTGTGGTCTTGATTTGTCTACTATGCTTAGTCGTGGTCTTGATTTATATATAACGATCATTCGAAGTCGTGATTTATATACTATGCTCGTTTGTGGTCTTGATGCATATGTATATACTATGTTCGGTCTTGGTCTTGATTTACATACTATTTTTGGTCGTGGTCTTGATTTATATACTATATTCGCTGGTCGTCATTATTCATACAATGTGTCTTGATTTACATACCGTGCTCGTTTGTGCTTTGATTTATATACTGTACTCGGTCATAGTTTTGATTTATATACTATGTTCGGTCGCGATCTCGATTTTATACTATGTTCGTTGGTGGTCTTTATTTATATACTTCGCTCGTTAATGGTCTTGATTTATATACTATGCTCTGTCTATCGTAGTCTTGATTTATATACTATGCTCTTTGGTGATCATTGTTCATATACTGTGATCGGTTGTAATCTTGAATAATATACTGTGCTCGTCGGTGTCTTGTTTTATATACTATGCTTGATTGCAGTCTCGATTTATATACTATGCTCGTTGTTGGTCTTGATTTCTTCACTATGCTCGTTTTTGGTCTTGATGTATGTACTATGCTCGGTCATGGTCTTGATTTATATACTATGTTTGGTCGTCAAGATTTAAAGACTGTGCTTGGATGTAGTCTTGATTTATATTTTATGTCCGGTCATAGTCGTGATTAATATACCATGCTCGTTGGTGGTCTTGATGTTATACTATGCTGTAACGTGGTCTTGACTTATATACTATGCTCGGTCGTGGTCTTGATGTATATACTATGCATGGTCGTGGTCTTGATTTATATGCTATGTTCGTTGGTCGTCATGATTTATATACTTTGCTCAATCGTAATCTTGATTTGTATACTGTGGACGTTGGTGCTGTTGATTTATATAGTATTTTCGTTGGTGGTCTTGATTTATAAACTATGCTCGTTGGTCGTCATGATTTTAGTACTTTGTTTGGTCGTAGTCTTAATTTATGAACTACGCTCGTTTGTTGTCTTGATTTATAAATAATGTTCGTTTGTGGTCTTGATTTATATACTTTGCTTAATCGTGGTCTTAATTTATATAGAAGGTTCGTTGGTGGTCTTGATTTATGTACTACGCTCGTTGGTCGTCATAATTTATTTACTGTGGTCGGTTGGTGTCTTGATTTATATACTTTGCTCATTGGTCGTCATGATTTATATACTGTGTTCGTTGGTGATCTTGATTTATGTACTATTTTCAGACGTAGTTTTGATTTATATACTATGCTCTTTTGTTGTCTTGATTTATATACAATGTTCGTTTGTGATCTTGATTTATATACTATGCTCGGTCGTGGTCTTGGTTCATATATTATGCTCGGTCGTGGTCCTGATTTATATACTATGTTCGTTGGTGGTTCTTATTAATATACTGTGTTCGTTGGTGGGATTGATTTATTTACTATGCTCGGACGTGGTTTTGATTTTTATATTATGCCCGTTGTTCGTCATTATTCATATACAATGCTCGGTCGTAGTCTTGATTTATATTCTATGCTCGGTTGCGGTCTTGATTTACATATATTTATATACCAGGCTCGTTGATTGTTTTGATTAATATGTGTTGTTTTTGCTCGTTTTTGGTGTTGATGTATAAGTGCCTATAAATAGCAGCACATGACATACAAATCTATGGGAGTGTGGATTAATCAGTACAGAGATTAATTCAATTACACAAATAAAATTATAGATTGCCTAACAATGTAATTTTAACACACTATTTAGTATGTAAATATAAGAATGTTTAAAATATTTACAAAATGATGAAAATAAACGCAATATTTCGCTAGACTAACTAGCTTTATCAAGCGTGCATCTATCCAGGTGAAATCGGATGTAGATGATAAGAAACTTTTGCAGCTCAATGTATATGTTGCACTTGAATTTAGCTGCCTTGAAAATAATACATAATTTGGATGAAGTTCAAGATTTTTTACAAAATTGGTAGTTGAAGTTAGCAACGTCCATTGACCAATATTACAGGATAAAAAGGACGATGCTGTGTACTAAATTATTCTTTATCTTCCCTGTATCTTTTCTCATCTTTTTCGTTAAGACCATCAGGTTCTAAAGTGTAGAGTTGGTGGATCCAAATATTTTCTCTTCTCCTTCTCGCCGTGGTGTCCCACTCGGTGTTGACTTCTATGATTTGGAAAGTAACATTATCAAAAGAATATTGCGTTTATTTTCATCATTTTGTAAATATTTTAAACATTCTTATATTTACATACTAAATAGTGTGTTAAAATTACATTGTTAGGCAATCTATATATATATATATAAATATATATAAAGATATAGATTGCCTAACAATGTAATTTTAACACACTATTTAGTATGTAAATATAAGAATGTTTAAAATATTTACAAAATGATGAAAATAAACGCAATATTTCGCTAGACTAACTAGCTTTATCAAGCGTGCATCTATCCAGGTGAAATCGGATGTAGATGATAAGAAACTTTTGCAGCTCAATGTATATGTTGCACTTGAATTTAGCTGCCTTGAAAATAATAAATAATTTGAATGAAGTTCAAGATTTTTACAAAATTGGTAGTTGAAGTTAGCAACGTCCATTGACCAATATTACAGGATAAAAAGGACGATGCTGTGTACTAAATTATTCTTTATCTTTCCTGTATCTTTTCTCATCTTTTTCGTTAAGACCATAAGGTTCTAAAGTGTGGAGTTGGTGGATCCAAACATTTTCTCTTCTCCTTCTCGCCGTGGTGTCCCACTCGGTGTTGACTTCTATGATTTGGAAGGTAACATTATCAAAAGAATGTTTCGTTGAACGAAGATGTCTTGTGAGAGGACAGTTTTTGTTGGTTTTGTACCATGAACGATGGTTATTGAGCCGAATATTAAATTTGTCCATTGTTTCTCCCACATACTGAATGCCACATGTGTCACATGTTAATATATAAATTGAGTTCTCCGTTTTACAGTTGGAATTTGAGTAGATGGTATAATTTTGTTTAGTAACGGAGCTGATGAAAGAACTGCTTGTATTGGCAGCTTTACAACACAAGCAGTTCCTTCGACCACATTGTTTGTAGCAACCGGGAGATGGAGTAGGCTGCTTTGCTAATACAGATGTCACTAATTTGTCACGGATGTTTTTAGGTCTTCTGAAGGCCATGACTGGTGGTGAGGAAAATACTTTTTTAAGATTTGAATCATTTTCTATAATTTTCCAATGCTTCTGAACAATGGAAGACACATTTTTAAAATCAGGATGGTAAGTGAGTACAAGGGGTGTTCTGTTAGCTGCTTTATTCTTATCTTTGTACTCTAGAAGTTCTTGGCGACTAGTTTTGTTTGCTCTTTCGAAAGCGCTATCAATGATGTTGTTATTGTATCCTCGAACAACTAGATGTTTACGTAGTTGTCCAAGTCTAGCATTTTGCGTATTTTCAGTAGAGCATATTCTCTTGATTCGCAATGCCTGGCTGAATGGGATGCCACGGGAGCAGTGTTTAGGATGGCAACTTTTAGGAGAAAGGAATTGATGTTTGTCCGTTTGTTTGGTGTGAAGGTCCGTTATAATGGTTCCGTTCTTGATGTAACTCGTAGTGTCGAGGAAGTTTATTTTCTCCATTGATGATTCATATGTAAATTTTATTGAATGGTGGAAAGAGTTACAGTGTCCTAGAAATTCTAAAATTTTTGGATCCACCAACTCCACACTTTAGAACCTGATGGTCTTAACGAAAAAGATGAGAAAAGATACAGGAAAGATAAAGAATAATTTAGTACACAGCATCGTCCTTTTTATCCTGTAATATTGGCCAATGGACGTTGCTAACTTCAACTACCAATTTTGTAAAAATCTTGAACTTCATTCAAATTATTTATTATTTTCAAGGCAGCTAAATTCAAGTGCAACATATACATTGAGCTGCAAAAGTTTCTTATCATCTACATCCGATTTCACCTGGATAGATGCACGCTTGATAAAGCTAGTTAGTCTAGCGAAATATTGCGTTTATTTTCATCATTTTGTAAATATTTTAAACATTCTTATATTTACATACTAAATAGTGTGTTAAAATTACATTGTTAGGCAATCTATAATTTTATTTGTGTAATTGAATTAATCTCTGTACTGATTAATCCACACTCCCATAGATTTGTATGTCATGTGCTGCTATTTATAGGCACTTATATATAAAGATATACATATACTATGCACGGTCGTGGTCTTGACTTATATAATATGTTCGTTGGTTGTCATGATTTATATATCGTATTCGGTCGTTGTCTTGATTTATATACTGTGATCGGTCGTGGTCTTGATTTATATACTGTGATCGTTGGTTCTCTTGATTTATATACTATGCTCTATCGTAATCTTGATTGATATACTATGCTCGGTCGTTCTCTTAATGTATATACTATGCTCGGTCGTGGTCTTGATTTATATACTATGTTCGTTGGTCGTCATGATTTTTAAACAGTGCTTGATCGTAATCTTGTTTTATATACTTTGGACGTTGATGGTCTTGATTTATATACTTTGCTCTGTCGTAATCTTGATTTATATACTATGGTCTGTTGAAGTCTTGATTTATATACTATGCTCGTTGGTGGGTCTTGATGTATATACTATGGTCGGTCGTGGTCATGATTTATATAATGTGCTCGTTGGTTTTCTTAATTTGTATATTATGTTCGATGGTGGTCTTGAGATAGATACTATGATCGTTTGTGGTCTTGATTATCAACTATGTTCGTTGGTCATCATGATTTATATACTATCCTCGGTCAAAGTCTTGATTTATATACTATGTTCGCTTGTGGTCTTGATTTATATAATGTGTTCGGACGATGTTTTGATTTATATCCTATGCTCGGTCGTGGTTTGGATTTATATAATGTGCTCGTTGGTTTTCTTGATTTGTATATTATGTTCGATGGTGGTCTTGATATAGATACTATGATCGTTGGTGGTCTTGATAAACATTTATGTTCGTTGGTCGTCATGATTTATATACTATGCTCGGTCGAAGTCTTGATTTATATACTATGTGTGCTTGTGGTCTTGATTCATATAATGTGTTCGGACGATGTTTTGATTTATATCCTATGCTCGGTTGTGGTCTTGATTTATACAATGTGCTCGTTGGTTTTTCTTGATTTGTATATTATGTTCGATGGTGGTCTTGATATAGATAATATGATCGTTTGTGGTCTTGATTATCAACTATGTTCGTTGGTCGTCATGATTTATATAATGTGTTCGGACGATGTTTTGATTTATATCCTATGCTCGGTCGTGGTCTTGATTTATATACTGTCCTCGTTGGTGGTCTTGATTTATATACTGTGCTCGGTGGTGGTTTTGATTTATATACTGTGCTCGTTAGTGGTCTTGATTTATATACTGTGCTGGTTGGTGGTCTTGATTTATATACTGTGCTGGTTGGTGGTCTTAATTAATATACTGTCCTCCTTGGTGTTCTTGATTTATATACTAGGCTCGTTGGATGTGATGATTTATATTCTGTGGTCTGTCATAGTTTTGATTAATATACTATGCTCGTTGGTTGTCATGATTTTTTGACTATTATACTTGGTGGTCTTGATTTATACACTTTACTCGTTGGTGGTCTTGATTTATATACCATGCTCTGTCGTAGTCTTGTTTTATATATTATGGTTTGTTGCGGTCTTGATTTGTATACTGTGCTCGTTGGTGATTTTTGTTGATATACTGTCCTCGTTGGTGTTCTTGATTTATATACTATGCTCGTTGGCTGTGATGATAGATATACTGTGGTTGTTGGAGGTCTTGATGTACATGATATGCTCGGTTGTAGTCTTGATTTATAAACTATGCTCAGTCGTTGTCTTAGTATATAAACTCTGCTCTGTCGTCGTCTTGGTAAATACTCTGTGCTCATTTGTGGTCTTGATTTATATACTATGCTTGGTCGTTTTCTGGATTTATATACTATGCTTGGTCGTGTTGTTGATTTACATACTGGACTCGGTCGTTCTCTTGTTTTATATATTATGCTCGGTCGTAGTCTTGATTTATATACAAATGCGCGGTCGTAGTCTTGATTTATATACTATGCTAGGTTGTAATTTTGATTTATATACTGCGCTCGGTCGTGGTCCTGATTTATGTACTATGCTCGTTGGTGGTCTTGATTTATTTACCATGCCCGGTCGTGGTCTTGAGACATCACCATGCTCGGTCGTGGTCTTGATTTATTTACTATGCTCGTCGGTGGCCATGATTTACATACTTTGGTCGGTCGTGGGTCTTCATTTATATACTATGCTGGGTCGTGGTCATGCCTTGTATACTGTGCTCGGTCGTAGTCTTGATTTATATACTATGATCGGTCGAAGTCTTGTTTTATATTCTAATTTCGTTTGAAGTCTTGATTTATATAATGTGCTCGGTCGTAGTTTTGATTTATATGCTTTGATCGGTCGTGGTCTTGATTTATATACTGTGCTCGTTGGTTGTCTTGATTCAAAAATGGGAATGGGAATGGGGAATGTGTCAAAGAGACAACAACCCGACCAAAGAGTAGAAAACAGCCGAAGGCCACCAATGGGTCTTCAACACACCGAGAAAACCCTGCAACCGGAGACGTGCTTCAGCTGTCCCCTAAACACAAATGTGTACTAGTTCAGTAATAATGGACGTCATACTAAACTCCAAAACATATAAATGAACTAAAATTAAAAATCATAGAAGACTAACAAAGGCATCTTGTTTTGCTTATAGCAATCTAAAGACCCATATTATCTTAAGACAGAAGAAGTAGCTTTTTATTTCGTTCATATTTAGCCCTTCTTGGTTATAATCTGCTAACAAAGTATATTTTTATGCCCCTTCTACGATAGTAGTAGGGGCATTTTGTTTTCTGGTCTGTGCGTCCGTTCGTCCGTCCGTCCTTCCGTCCGTCCGTCTGTCCCGCTTCAGGTTAAAGTTTTTGGTCAAGGTAATTTTTGATGAAGTTGAAGTCCAATCAACTTGAAACTTAGTACACATGTTCCCTATGATATGATCTTTCTTTTTTTACTTTATTAGAGTTTTGACCCACATTTCACGGTCCACTGATCATAGAAAATAATAGTGCGTGTGGGGCATCCGTGTACTATGGACACATTCTTGTTTTACTTTTCTTTTTTACCATTTATTTCTGCGGTTTATATGTAAAGTACTATTATATTATTTATTTATGTATTTCTCTGTGCTGAGTGTTCTTGCGTTTGTTTGTACTGTATTCCTGTCACGTAGTGTTGTCATTTTAGCAGTATTTTTAACATTGCCATATAAGCGGGAGGTTTGGCTAGCCATAAAACCAGGTTCAACTTACCTTTTTTTTAAAAAATGTCCTGTACCAAGTCAGAAATATGGCAGTTGTTATCAGACAGTCCGTTTCTATGTATGTTGGCGTTTGCTTTTGTTGTAGTTCAGTGTTTCTGTTGTTCCATTGTTTTCCTCTTATAGTTGATGCGTTTCCCTCGGTTTTAGTATGTTACCCGGATTTGTTTTTGCATAATCAAATTATGACCATTGAACAGCGGTATATTACTGTTGCCCTTATTAACCATCCCATATAAATCTAAAGATTTCTCCTTCTACTTCAAGTATATTTTAGTTACTTAAAACTGTAACGTTCGCTTAGAAAGTAAATTATGATGTAGTGAGGGTTTTAACTGTAAGAATTTCACCTAAGATTGTTAAGTTTCTTTTTTCCACGATGCAATAAGATATCTGCTCTTTTCATATCTAGTATCCCGATTTATTAATGCCGAAATATATTCCTTGCACTTTTACGGGTTTATCCCTGAAATTTATTTTATCTACTTTATCTCTACCATGTTTGAGTTTACCAATCCAAATTCCCTCTTTTTTTTTATTTTGTTGTAGTCCGGAAAAAGTACAAAAAATTTCAATTATATTTAATGCTGTTCGAATTTCTTCTTTCGATTTTTGGAGTAGAGTTGTATCATCAGCGACTTACATAATTTTAGAACTATGTGTTTTACTATCAATTTTTAATTCTATGCCTCTTATAATTTTGTTTTGTCTTAGTTGGTAAGCCATTATTTCTACTGACATTACGAAAAGTAGGAAGAGCACGGACATCTCTGCCGGATACCCCTTAGGTGTCCAAAAGTGGCCGATATCCACCCGTGATTAAATATAGAGCTATATGTATTAGTATACAATGAAAGGTTTGTTAAAACCAAAATATTCTAAAGTATGACACATAAGATTCCATTCTAATGTGTCGAAAGCTTTCTAAAATATATTAATAAAAAAACACCTTCTATATGTAACTTATCTGCGTAATCTATTACATCTTGTATTTGGCGTAGATTAAATCCTATGAATATGTTTATGATGTATCCTATTTGATCAGCATTAATGATTAGATTTAGATTTTTTTTAATTCTTAAGGATAAAGTGTATTTCATAAACACTATTTAATAATGATATTGGTCTGTAATTTGCAAGTTCTAATGCATCATTTTTCTTATAAATAAAATTCAGTAAACGTTTTCGTTGCAAAATGGCAGTTGTTTATTTTCAAAGCAAAGATTGAAATTTTTGACAAGTCGAGGTCCAAGAAGTCCCCTTTTTATTTTTATAAAAGTAAATGCTTATGCCGTCTATCATTGGTCTTTTGATAGGTTTTAGATTATTTACAGCAATAGTTAATTCTTCTAGCGTGACGTATCCATCACAAGATTTACTTTCCTCTTCGGTTAATTTATAATTGAGTTTTGTTCTAGTGATGTATTTATGAAAATCGATATCCGGGTTTTGTTTAGTGTCGTATAAACCTTTTAAGGTAGAAGGGGTGTCTAAATTATAATCCATAGAATTTTTTAATAATTTTCCAAAATGTAGTTTATATCATGCTTTTTTAAAAAAAAATAATAAAAAGAATGGGTCACGGGGCTTATTTTCACGCTACAGGTTGTGCAAAATTGACAGATTTTGTATAGATTATGCATGGAAAACCAAATTTTCTGCCATAAAACGAAAACTACACCATAGAATTTTGAGATAAAATATGAGAAGATAGCTCTAATAGTATGCTTTCAGATAAGAAAAAGAAAAAATGGGGTCACGGAACCCGTTTTCTTGCTACATAATAAAATAGGTAAATTCCTAACACATTCTATTGTAAAAGTAACTTGATCTGAATTATCTGCCCTTACATTTGAGTTGCCTCCCCTTATGTGGCAAAGTTGGAAAAAATAGAACCAAACAAAAGTATTCTGTTTTTCTGTAAAATAAAACCATAAATATGATAAAATATGTCATTTTCTCTATTGAAATGAAAATTCTTACACATGAATTACCTACTTCTCTCAAAATTTGCACCTTTTATTAAAGATCTAGACCGATTGTTTTCTTGTATTTCAAAATCCAAGATGGAGGAAGACACCCTATCTACCTTAAGCTTTATTATTTCATCTTGATCTGTTACCATTTCATCGTTATTTTTTTCATTTTGAGTATTGTCTCTTTCGTTTGTTTAGGTTTTTCTAGACCTATGACATACGCACCCCCCTTTTCTACACACTCTTGTTTTAATCTTATTTGTGCTCCTTTAGCTTTATATTCATATTGAATGTCTAGCTCTTTTTCTAATGTGGATATTTTTTCTTTTATAAAATCATTTTCCTCGTTGTTTGATTTCTCATATAAAATTTTTAGTTGTGATTCTAAATCACGGGTTGCATTTTTGTTTTGTTTTTTGCTTTAATTCTACTATACTTAATACTATATTCCTTTATTTCTAATTTGAGGGAGTCCCACTGATGTCTTGAATCTATTTCATGTTGTTCCATCTTTTTAATATTTATTATTATTTTACTTAAATTGCATTCATACTCTTGCTCGTCGAGAATACCGTTATTAATTTTCCAGTATCCCGGGCCTCTAGTTTCAGTTGAGACAGATTGTAATTGTAATGGAAACTGCTTGATGGTCGGTGTTATTAATAAGAATATGTATAATGTCACACGACTTAACGTTTAAAACGAAATATTTTTTGGTAAAGAACATGTCAATTCGACTAGAATGGACTGGATTTTTCGTCTCCAGGTATATTGGATTTCGTTTGGAGTTTAGTGTCTCCATATATCTTTTACGTCAATTTTTAGGCTATTGACTGGTTTACTTACTTTTTTACGAATATTAGATTTGTTTCTATCTACATTTATAAGGGAATCATTCATTTCTCTTTCTAAAATTATTATACATGTGTACCTTTTTTTATTTATAAATCATTTAGTTTTTTGTAAAAGATATTTCGTTCGGGTTCTATATTAGGAGCATATATGATTATAAGAGAATAACATAAATTATAAAATTCGATATTTATCATGATTATTCTACCTTCTGAATCTTTATTTTCAGCTATTTATTTATATATAAAAAGAAGATGTGGTATGATTGCCAATGAGACAACTCTCCACAAGAGACCAAATGACACAGAAATTAACAACTATAGGTCACAGTACGGCCTTCAACAATGAAGAAAGCCCATACCTCATAGTCAGCTATAAAAGGCCCCGAAATGACAAATGTAAAACAATCCAAACGAGAAAAAATAACGGCCTAATTTATGTAAAAAATTAT